TTTCCTTAAGTCTTATTTTTATGCTTTAATATTGCTGTATTACTATAGATGATAACAACCAAAGCAACTACACCTGTTTTCCTTTGAAACAAAACTGTTCTAAAATAAACCACACATATATATATATTTACAAACACCGATGATTTAGTGTTGTTTCACTCTAATCCACCCCAAGGGATTTACTAACAAGAACCTGGGTTACCCTCCCCTTCTGGGGTGGGTCATAACAAGTACAACAGGCAAAAGACCCAATCTACCTCACCTCCTCCTAGCTGAGTGCTGAGAATAGGAAGTGCTACTTCAGTTCCCTAGGAACTGCTGAATTCCCACACTGAGAACCTCCAGAGGGTATAAACAGGGAAAGAAGCAAATGCATGTGATGCATGTGACACTGAAGAACGAAGTTTGGAAAATAATAATTCTGCTAATTTGAGTAGCCACGAGCAGTGATGCTAAAGAGTAATAAATCCTGTTCATATTTGGGCATGGTGGTGGGTGCCACAGACAGTATGACTAATCTGTCAGCTGCAGCATTAGCCTGGGATGCTTCTCAGGTGTCTTGGTACAAATGGAGTGGAAAATGTTTTTCAAGGTCCATAGTGGCAGATCTAGTTTTAACAGACAGCTATGACAACAGGTGGCCCTGTATTCTATAGTCCTCTTGATCTTGTAAAAAACTGGTGCAGATAGCATAGGGAAGCACCTGGTCCCATTCTCACAATTTACTGAGGCTATGAAGTGTTGCCTAAATCCTAAAAGCATGAGACTTGAAAGGGGGAAACTAATCCAACTAACCAAACACAGAAAGGCTGATGCCTCCATCAAGGTGGAACTGAGAATCCATCTATCTGACAATTTCAAATGGGTTCTCTCTGGCCACACTTGATGGAGGTGATCCCGTGACAACGGCCCAAAACTCTCTCACCATGTTAACTACAGCCCAGACAACCTTTCAACACAACCTTACAATGATGTCACTAGGATCGGAAAATGAGACTTCTGAAATTTATATCCCAAGAGACAGGAGAGATCTTTAAGGGCAAATGACTGGCTGAGGGCAGTGTTGCAAGGCAAGGGGGGTGAGAGAAGAGAAACAGCAACAGCAATAGGCACAAACAGCAGCTAGGCAGGGCCTCAGCCATAAGAAAAACCCAGGCTGGTATTCCTGACGTGTTCTTGTAGCTAAAACATAGACTGAAAATTGAGTGAGAGGAACAAGCACATGGTTTGAGCAACCGGTCAATTTTATCGTGTAATCTGAATTACACAGAGCCATTCTTACTATTAATCATTACCTCTCTCACAGGAGGGAAGCAAAAGCATGCACTGCTGAAAACAGCAAGCTACCTTTCCTGCTGCAAAGCAAAACATAGTAAGTCTGAAGTGCCAGAGTCCAGGATTCAGTGCTAGCACTTCAGGGAGAGAGAGAACCCAGTGACAGGCAAAGAAGATTCCAAAATCAAAGACTTCTGTTAAGGAACAGAGCTCTTCATAAGGATGAGTTCTTCTCTCTACCTGACCCCAACAGTAACTGCTGTTCCACCAACAATCCAGTATCCGTCCAGTTGACCATAAAGCCAGAAGGAACAGGGGAAAGGAGATGTCAAAAGGATGGAAACTGATAAAGAACACAGCTCAGCCTGTAACTGCCTAACTGCTAGGTGGCAGCAGAATGCAGAACATCCTTGAGCATTAGGCAGTATCTCTCCCATGAGGCTATGCAAGGAATATCGAAGTTTTCCAAAGTGCTTTCGGAAGCTGCACTCATCATCCTCCAGGAGAGGAATCTAGTTCTCTCACACACCTGAGGAACAGCTCTAGATGGTACAGGCAGAAATTTCCCTACTTCCAAGCCTCAGCTACAAGGAAAATCAGATCAGAGTAAGACAGAAGTGCAAACATCCCCAGTACAGCTGAATGAAGAACACTATGATGGGTAGGTATGAGAGGGACATAATATTGGTGCTATTTGAAAAAAGGAGAGTATCCAATACCTCTGGAAATATGTTGCAGATTCAAAACATAGGATAGTCATAGAGACCCTGGCCTTGCTTCCTATATGGCAGCTAAACTCTTTCTCAACAGTCTAAACCACTAGCAGCAGCATTCCAACTGAGGTGAACTCAGGGAGGTAACGTACTGTCATCTCTGGCCAGAATCAATCATGGACACTGAAAGGGAGAAACGGGTGGCCTCATGTTTCCTACAAGGAAGATGACATGGTGGCCAAGTTCCACACCAAATATGGCAACAGCATTTCAGAAGTCTGAAGTGGTACGGGGAGCAGAGATGCTTCAGTGTGCACACTCCAAAGCTGAGAAGTGGAGCAGAAATGTGTTTTCACTCCTTTCTCTTGAAGAGAAACAGCCTGAACTGCTTACTTGCTCCAGAGTTGGAAGGTCTAATCAGGTCAAGACTACAACTGCCACATCTGCAAGGAATCCAGCTGCACAGCTATTAGGACACAACAAATGCTTTCTTTAGGATAATTTCCTGAAGCTGCCGCTCCTGGTCATTCAAATCCATGGCTAGGAAGCTTGGACAGAGCATCAGCCCTCACCCAAGCAACTGAGTAACAGCAGGGTTACTGGCACAGACCCACACAAGCGGCACATGAAAGCAGGAGATAACTTGCAGAGTGGTTTCTTGTAATAGGACTTGTAAATGGAATTACAGCCAAACCCAGAAAATCAGAGGAAGCCAGTAAGTATGTATTTAAAGAATATCACTATGCACTCAAGGGAAAAAAACAAGTCAAAGGAAAATGATCACAAGGTGGGTTTTTTTTTAATCAGACTGTTGAAAGGAGCTCAAGTGCCACATGCTGCTGCAGGCATTAAGAATGAGGGAGGCAGGTGACATACTAAAGATGCTGAGGAAGCAAAGCATTCTTTGATCTAGAGATGATAAACCACCTGGTCAACAAGTACCAGAAACTGCAGGTTACTGCACTAGGTAATTTCTTAATTTCTCAATGTTCATAGGAAAGAAGGAGCCCAAACACATGACTGTTTAGAGAATCACATTCATTGGCAATGCGTTGGCACAATACTGACAAGAACAGACATAAAAACAGCTTCGGAGGGGTGACAGACCTCTATGCCTCAGCATTTAATGGGACAGAAGGAGGAAGAGGGGAAGCTCTCTCCCACTGAAACTACCACTCTGATACAAAACCCTGATCAGAAAGCAGACACTCACCTACTTCTCAGCCCTGTGTTCCTAAGACACATGCCATGGTCAGCTTAAAGGGAAACCAGAAAATTATATACCAGTCCAATCTCCTATAAGAGTTTTAAATAGCAATGATATCATCTCTTGCTTTTTTATTGAAGCTTAATATTTGCTGTTGAAGCAAGAGGGAGACTCAGCTTTCCCTCAGCACAGAGAAGCACCGGTCTTCCTTAAGCAGGCAAACAGGGTCACTTGTCCCCAGTGACATGTTAAAACCCACAACACTGGGTAACTAATGAACACTTACATAACGAGAGTGAAGACAAAGAACTTGAGCTTTAATGTGAATTGAAATTAATAAGGCCAGATCCTTGGCTCACATGAATGTATCCTGAGATTTTAGCATGAAGTAACTTCCAAATGCCTTGTCTTTATCGGCTGGGTTTGTTTCTTTAAGCTAGCTTACACAGGACAGCCAGGCTGAAGTAAAAGTATGCTTGTAATTCACTAAGAAAGCAAAATTATTTTTAGCAATGATGAAAAAAACACAATCAAGAAATCTCCCAGATACTTCTTTAGTACAGATAAGCACATAAACCCCAGATGGAATTCTGATATAAAAGAAGTTTATCTGACATATCTTAGATATTATAAATGAATCTTATTTTCTTTTATTTAAAGTTTTCTTCTTTTAGGAACAGAAGACAAACTTAATTTTTTTAAACCAAGGAAATAGAAAAATCATTGACCAAAATTTTTTTTCTGTAGAAGCAATTCTGAAAAATTGTTTTAAAAAATAATAAAATATGTTTAAATAGTTCATTTAGAATAAAATATGATTTCTTCATCAAGTGTAATAATTTATTTTTTATTTTCTACTCTTTATTAGTTTTGCACCTCTGTATCATAATACACACCTTTTCCTTCTGAAAAGGAAGCAGGAGAACTAAAGAAGTGAAAAGCTCCAACAACAACTTTCTCTAACAAAATCCTAGCAAAACCACGCTCCCTAGTTTTCAAGGTATTCTAAACCACTTGGACAGTGTGGTCTCCAGTCTCTTGCCTCCCCTGTTTTGCAATATCACTGTGTAACTGTCAAAATTTCTGTAAATTATATATATTCCACTTGTTAGCACCACTGATTAATTCAGTAATACTGCTCAGGAAAAAAAAAAGAAACTGTACAAAATTAGATTGACAGTAGACTGAAAGATACACTTCAAACATACCAAAATGTGTTGACGGTAATACAAAACATCATCTGGAAGACAGTCTAAGTATGTGTTATTTAAAGTACAAAACTAAGCTCCTGTTTTCATCTCTCCACTGAGGATTGACAGAAAATAGGATTACCTCTTTATCCAGAGTAGAAATCTGCAACATTTTATAATTAAGAGTATTATTTCTTATTGCAAGGGGACACGGTCCCTGTTCTTTGATACATCTGAGAAAAGATGTCAAATATGGTTCCGAAAATAAGGAAATCAAATCCATATCTGTGCACTCACAGTACAGGTGCTTTGCACCTAAGAAAACACAGAGCCCTTTATCTAGATATGCCAACATCTATTTCTTCATTAGTGACTTTCACAAGCAAAACAAAAGCAAATCAAAACAACCATACTGATGCCTAAAATTCCAAGTGAAGATTAAGTGTAATAGTGAAGACCATGAACAGGAACTGCAATTTTCAGTCAACAATATTTTATTAAATTTGTTATTTAGCAACCCTATCAAGAACATTTGTGTAGTGATGTAAAATACAGGAAACTAGTTAATAAAATTCAACATAAAGACAAAGGATAAAATATCAGTATGGATATTACCTTAGCGTTCTCAAGTAGAACTTCATCTCTACCTAAGCCAGGTCCTATGACAACTGAGTGCAGTCGTGGTAACCACTTTTCCACCTCATGGACAGCATTGGGACTATCACTAAAATGGAAGTGTGAAAAAAAAGACAAGTTTAAAAAGGCTTCCTTTTAGTAGTCTCAGAAACTGAGTTCAAGATGCAAGATAGAAAGAGATATTTCCTATCTTGAGTGTCAGGCAATTTTATCTTCCAAACTACCAAAAATCTATGACTCAGGAAATACGGAATGGTTGCCCAAACATTTCTCTCAATTCATTCCTTAGAGAATATCACATAAAAATGAGGAGGTAATTGCAAGTACCCACTACAGTTGTTTACAAAATAAAAAAATAAAACCCAAGTAGGAAACCAACAATTTTTGGTCTGTCACAATTCCTATCTAATGCTTCTTTGCAGAGATTATACCTTGGAGAGAGATCCACCATCTCACAGGTATATACCATGGCTTGCTGGAAATGACGGAATTATTTATTTCCCTACATGGCAAAATGATAAATCTACTCATATGCTTTTTTGTCATTGCTTCATAAGCATTTGTTCCAACTGAATTACAGCCAAATTGTCCTGTTTCCCCAAAAGGCAACTGGAGAAACAAGCTATTCAGTAGGGGTATTATCTGCTTGTACTGCTTAAGATTTCTGCAGCATTCAGGGTTTTGTCTACACTGGAAAAATGATGAGAAAATCCGCTGCCAAATATAGCTGCCACAATACAGCATTCAGCCACTGACCAGAACTGTTTATTTTGTTCTGATCAGTTTTATTGTGTAAATAGGCCAGAATATTTTGAAAGTACTGCCCACCAGTTGTAGTTAATCCTTACTGACAGTATGGAGGGAAAATTTAGCCTCCCTCCCTCCCCACCTCTGACATTAGTGACAAAAATAAACGAGCATTTTAACTGAAGCACAGGGAATAAAGCTCCCTGTAGGCTGAGCAAGGAGGTCCTGCTTCAGAGTATTGCTCAGAATATTTTAAGCTTGCAATACTTCAACAAAGCTGTATTATTACGGATGAAAGCCACTGCATGTTTTTCATAACCAACAGCTGTACTGATGGGACACACCACTTGGGAACAAGTGTTTAGCTTGCATCTGGCAGAATCAGCAAATTCCACAATGATTTCTGCAAGTGCCAGACAGGACCCCAGAGCCTTTGCAGCTGCAGGGTGCGAGGCAGAGCACTCAAGGCTGCAGGGATGCAGTGCCTGCCTGGCCGCAGCCCAGCAGCCCCTCCACAGACAAAGCTGCTCCAGAAATCCCGGCTGTGCCAGCCAGGGCTCCCCAAAGGCACCCTGTGCTGACACCACAAAACAGCTCTGTCAAAACAAGGCTGCTGCGTAGAAGCAATGACCCGCTGCAAGGTCAAGGGAGACAACGAACCACGTGAGGACATCGGGTGTCCCTGAAGCAGTCCCCTGGTTTAGCAGCTCAATTTCCATTTGAACGATGCAGCTCCCTCATTTCTCTAACTCGCAAGGAAACAGTAGCAGCTTCAGAATTGCCAAACAGCTCATTTTTTTACTTTTTATTTGTCTCTGTTACAATCACCTGTAAGTTTATGATGTAGGTACAGGCTGGAAATAAAAATGCTTCAAGAAATATTTAAAGCACTATTAAAAAAAAAAAAAGAAGACATGTGAGAGGTTGAGCAATGAAAAATTGCCTGTAATCAAAACTCTAATAAAACATCACCATTTCTGAATGCTGGTCACTTTTTTAAATTCACATGCTGAACTTATTTTATCTTTGAAGAGCAATATATATCTCAAATACATATATTTCTCAAATAAATGTATCTATGTATCATACAGTTATAAATATACGGATATATATATATATATATAAGGATGTGTGAATGGATTGGATCCAAAATACCTTTGGACTGTAGAAGCCAAATACTTTTTAAAAAATGCTTCAGTAAACATAAGCTAAGAACAGAGCCATAGGCAGTACCATAAATGCTCTGCTCTTCTACAAATATCTCATGCAAATAATATAAAGGTAGAAAGTTTGCCAATTTATTTATATTCAGGATTGAAATAATATAATTTTGTCTACAATCCAATTGATAATGTGCACTTTCCAAAACAAAGCCATCTCTTGGGAAATGAACAATCCAACATTAAGCCACTCCTCCTCACTTTGCCTCTGGTAATAATAAAAACCTACTGTGGAGCTTTTCATCTTCAAAGCATTTTGCAAACATTACATTCAACTCCTTTGCAACTTCACATCAAGAAGCAACCCAAGCCGTGAAGGGTCAACAGATTAAAAATGGTGATAATGACTACTACATTGCAAAATCAGCTATAAAAACATGCTGTAAAGTAACTGATGGATTTTGATTCTTCATAAAGAAAGCAGAACAAATACTGCCTTGCAGAAGCAACATACCAACTTCACTTCAAGACACTGGATGTTCACAACAGCTGTGGCTATGCAGCTACACATGCCTTACAAATATCCCGTATCTACAGCTGCTCTGAAAGTGGAAGGGCTGTTGTGTAATCTTACAGACATCAAACTAGTAGCATTTTAAAGCTGACAGGGTACAAATGATCAACAGGTAACTTTCTTCAGGAAGGGGCATCACCTTGAATGTTCCTGACCACAGGATTCAGCACAAATACAGAAACTCTTCCAGCTCTTAACAGCTACAGTCTATACACGACTTAATATGCCCAGAAGAGCTCTCTGACACTGAGGGCAGCTGGCCTGTACACCCTGCGGTTTCAGAGCAGGCAAAGCTCAACCTGCCTGTTGGACACAGTTGCTGGACCACGGTAATCCCTCATCAGTGGAAAAAGTGGTTGGGAAAGGCTAGATGGCATAGTCCAAAATTCTTGCTAAGGATTGTTTGAGTAATTTGCCTGTGCAGATAATCGTGCTTTTAGGTACTGAGGAATAAATATTCCTTGGCAGTGTTTAGTTGATTACTACAGAAAAAAACCTTGCTTTTTCTTGTTTGCCTGTGTATCAAAACCAGACAAAAACCTCTAAAGACTTTGGAGGCACCAGCACAAAACATTATCAGATCCTCAGCTGTTCACTGTGTACTACACTCACACAAAGAACACTGTTAATGTCCTTTGTAATTTCATGCCAATTTCTCTGCCTGGTTATTAACCTGATCTCAAACCTCTTCATTTAATTAGCACCTCCACTGCCCAAGACTTTGAAACAACAATTGAAATTAGCACTGTATTTTAGAAAAACAAACTCCTATCTAGAAAGGTATGAGCTATGAAGAAGACGACCCCTTGTTCAAAAGAGATGCAATCTTCAGGCTTTGACAGAACCCAATTTCATGGCTAGGCTTCAGGAACGAAGATTTGGGAAGGGCTCTCTACCCACATTTGCTACAAGTGTGCTGGTGGCTAAAAAGGTCAATAGGAGATAGACAGGGCAGGTTGCAAAAGGCACAACAAAAGGACTCCTTAGGTGGTATTGGCAAGACCTGATTCTTTCTGCATTGTCTTTTCTCCTCGAGAGTGATCCTGCGTGCCTTCTCAAAGGAAACAGCAGTGTAATAGATGGTGTGTCTCCAGATCTCCCGATTGGAGGCCAGAGTAGACCAGTTATGGTGATCAATATGGCCAAGGCTGAGATGTTGTTTCAGGGAGTCCTTGTATCTTTTCTTCAGGGTTCCTCTCTTGCGGCAGCCAGTGGCAAGTTCACCACAGAGCACAACCTTGGGGAGGCCACAGATGGGGTCTGATCAGCTTTCCCTGGCTATTAGTGAGAGGTAAGGGGAGAGAGAGACAAAGCTTCGCTCACAGAGGCTGAGAAGCCTGTGATCTCTTGGGAAGACAGACACAACAGCTTTATCATTTGCCACCCCTGAAGCCACTGTGTGGACAGGACCAAGGCATGGTGTTCAGCACCTCGCAAGCTTTTCTTTTTGCTCTTTTCTCTGCTTCCTGAATGTATCAAGAAAAGTACTTTCCATGACAAAACAGACAAAGCACTGAGTCTCTAAAATGGTGAGAATAAATTCTCTGCAAACTATTACTAGCTTTAGATAACTTTTGCCACATCAACCTCATGAAGTTCAATACGTGCATTGTGCTGCACCTGGGTCAGGGCAATCCTAGATATCAGTACAGACTGGGAGAAGTCATTGAGAGCAGCCCTGAGGTGATGACCTTATACAGAAAGAAAAACTTCAGGTTAAGCTTTTTGCTCTTCAGGACTCTTCTGTATTTCACTATCACACAATAAAAATTGTCATAAAACACAGTTCTGTAGATCATCATCTTAGGGAAAGCTCAATGTAATAACTTTTCCAAAAACAACACCACCACCACCAAAAAAAAACCCCAACCTGAAAAAAAAGATGGTGGTTACTGCCCTAATATCACCCACAGTTTCTAAACATCTTCTACAGTAGCTTGTAATAGTTATCTACCAGGTGCCACCTGCTTGAATCTCTGCTCTAGGCTGATCACTACCCAGAGTGGGAGGACACTCGACAGCTAAGGCCTGAAACACCACTCCCATCCCCATCCCTCCAAAAAACCCAAAAATTTAGTTCTATGCTGCTTTTTATTCAAAGACTGGCTTTTACCAAATGATCAAAAGTGACTAAGCAATAGCTTTAAATTATTACAGTAGGCTCTAAACACAGCAGCTTTCCTCATTCAGGATGAATGACAGTTACTGGCATTGCTTCCTGGAGGAGGAAAAGGAACAAGTGATAATGTGCAGCCTTGTCAAATTTTACATGGAAACAAGAAAATGTGAAGCAAAGTCAGCAAGGGTGGAACCAGGAGCTAGGGAAATAATAGATAAGCATGAATGACAGCACAAACAGGAGTCAGCGGGACTGCAGCTCTTCACATGTGTTTTAGGCAGAGCTGGAAACACCTTAGTAATCAGGGATGTGGTATGGACACCACAAAATGCCAATCAAGTGAGACCTCCTGCTAGAGAAGAACATGGGACAAAAGCAAGATTGCCATCACCCAGTCAACTATATGGCTTCTCACTGGAGAGTATATTATTCAAATTCTGCTCATTATCTGTGCACACTTGGTGTGACTGAGGCAACTTCAAATGCAT